CCATGCCGGCAGCAATATTATTTCACTATCTTGCGTGATGTATGCGTTTGTTATATTTAATATAATTATTAATATAAACTCCAATACTAGTAACATGTTCTATTTGCTTTCGATTATAAATATTATAAATATTTGATTATAAATATTTGAATAAATTTTCTTAGATTTCTTTTATGAATTAAATTAATTTTTTAACTTTATTAATTTATATTATTAATTTTCATTATAATATTTTACCATATGTTATAAGTCTCTAACATTTATTACACCTTAGATCATCGCGTATGAAACACGTACTGTAATCTGAGTTTGCAAATATCATGTAACAATGTATTGTATATGTTTTCTATGCTTACATATGTGTGTGTGTATATATTTCTTTTGATTCTGTATCATATGTTTAAAATGTGATACTTGCAATAATGGTGGAATTTAAAAAAATGCAACATTCTATATAGAATGTTTAATATTATACATATGCACTTTATTTATTTCCAAATGTGAGGTTTTTATTCATAAGTGTTTAATTTTTTAAGAATAATTAGAACATTTAGGTGTGCACACTATGTATTTGCGCGTGTTCAAATATTAAACAACATTTAAAGACAAAATACAACTGATTAAAATACAATTCAAAATTTACGATTTATTATATTTATTTCAAAGACTGTTACAAATCATAGAAATAAAAATACACAAAATTATTGTCCTCACAGTAAAGATAGAATAAAAGAAATGCGGACATATATTCAACGGTACATAATTATTGTGAGTCAAGCTGAAAACATATCGCAATCATAAATTTGTAAAGATACAGCTTTTTATTCTACGAATCTATAAAATCAAAATAAGAAAAGAAACAGAAAACGGCTTAGGACGTCAAAAAACAATAGTGATAGTAAAACATTATTTCAGTTTTATAATTACAATATTTATTTTTATGTCATAAAAAAAATAAGTTCCGCAAGTAGCACGCTCTCGTTTGTCCAGTATAACAAAATAATTTAATTAATTTTTTTATCATAAAACTCAATCAAACTCTCTTACATATACTTAATTTTTTCTGAAAATATTTTATTAAAAAAGACTAAATTATTTTTGTCCGCAAAAAATTAATGGTTAATGTGAGGTACAAAACAAATTGGAAAACTTCTAAATTGACTTAAGCATGTTTTGCAATTTCTGTTTTTCTGGATATTCATTTACACACGTAGATAATGTTTCCCCCAATTTTCTACCAATGAGTAGTTTTCAGGCAGACAATGATGAAAGCGGCAATAATAATCCTGGTCACCTTCTTTGTAACACCACGTTCCATCGGGAAAATATGGATCGATACCAAAGTTGAGCAATTCTTTGCGAGGCGTAAAATATGTAAAAAAGTTCTTTCGTGCACAATATATAGTACAGGCTATCCACGGTTTATTTACTGCATGAGATAGCTGCCAACCCCGTTTCAGTTCCAGTTCAGACATGATATCTGTAAATTTGGCGCATTTTGTAACAGCAAATTCGGCAACCGTCTTGCGTTTTCCACTACATAGTGAAGAAGCATCGCACAAAACCACGTCGTAATATGGTCCAATGCAATTCGCTGTTGTGTCATTCTGATGTTTGCAAAAACGTCGTTTGTCTCGTACGCCTTTGGATCCTTCCAAGCAATAGGAGTTTTTACAGGCGTCTTCCTTCCATTCACTCCAGTTGTCATCTTCACAATCCCTGAAATTGTATGGCGGCTCGATAACGGGGACGCATTCTTCGTCGCGACATTCCATGCCGAGTGCGCAATAAGTTCCTAAAAATGAAGTCGTTAAATATAAAACTACAGTATCAAGTAAAAATAACAAAAAACTTACCAGGCAGCGCGGGTCCCGTGAAATAATACGCATTTGTGTGAGGGACTTCGCATTGTAAAGTTTCACATATATCATGTAACGTGACTACGTTCGCATTCTTGTCGCGTAAATATACTTCACATTGTGCTTTGGCAGTCGCTTCTCTTCCGGGTAAATCGTAACGAATAAAACTATCGAATAAATATGCGTCACTGAGGCTTTTGGATTTCTTATAGTTTTGAAGACATTCTTTTCTTTCCCAAAGTCCTTTTATTTTGTTACGACTTTTCTCAGACCATGCCACATGGTTTTCATTACTATGGAATTTAGACATGACGTATTTGTGTCCGCTTTTTTGTTTTGAATCCGTGTCATGGTCCAACCCTAAACTTAAATTAAATAATAAACCTAAATCTTGAAAATGTGTTTAACTTTGTATTATCTAAATAAAATATTTACATATATTTTTAAGTTTATTAATGATTAACGTACTTAACAGTTAAATAATCGAATTTTTGAGAGAAATTTTTTTAAGTCTTTACTTTATACTGTACGATTTACTAATTTTTAATACAAAATCAAATTTTACTTAAATTATACAAATAAAACGAGTATATATATACTTACAGATGACCGATCTCATGAGCAGCAAGAGAAGATGATCTTAAACCCAATGATATGATTTCAGATGTAGCACGAAATTCCGCTATTGCGCATGATCCAAATTTTTTGCATGCACTTTCGAAGGCTCCTCCTTTTAAGTCATAATTCTTCACACGTTTTATAATGGGATGTCTCAATGTCGGCGAAATTTTTACATCTTCATACTTATAAAGATCTATTCCGGTTAGATAAATGCTAAAGTCCCAGTGATGCGAATGTTCGTCCGGGAAATTTTGAATATATGCGTACTTGCAAAATGAATTAAGCAGTTCCACATAATCTAAATCGACAACTGGCAATTGTGGCGGCTGGTTTTCCATAATGTCTAAATGTACCAGTGAAATATCAATAGTGACACCCAAACTGGGATGATGGAATGCAGCTTGGATACGATTCACATACGCTAATATCATACAGCGTATCTTTTCCATATCGTTGTCCAGAAGAGGCATGAATGTGCGATATGCTGCTTCGTCGAAGAAAACGGCAAGTTCTATGGTTAATTTTTGTTCCGTATTTTGAACGTCACGTCGTTTTCGTGTTAAATTGTTCAAAAAATACAGATTTGAATTATCTAAATATTGTACTGATGTTTTAATAACATGAGGTTTGCCAAATGAAAGATTAATCTCTTTTTTAACGGAAAAGTCGTCAATTAAATACGAAGACGAAAACTCGCTCCGTAAAGGCCGAATCTCCAATGTATCGTTTTCCACAAAAATGAGTCCTTCCTACTTTGAAATGCATATATTTGTCTTTTACGTGTAACGCTTGTATATAAAGCAAATAGAAATAAAGATTGAAATTTGAAGCAAAACATTTTCCAATCAGTTGTTAATACTACTGACCAATCCATTTTCGTGACAAAAGTTGATGGCAGCAAAACTGACATGATCCTCGTGAATGTAAAAGCAAGAATCCAATGCTTTTAACTGCGAAAATTTTGTGATGCCTTTTGCATTATATTTCCATTCTTCAAACGTGGGCGATACAATTTTGTCGTTTTTACGCAAATTTAGCTGAATCAATTTTCCGAAAGCTTTAAGAGTTAATGGTATCTGCAAATTAAATGGCGTTTAAAAAAAACTTGAGAATACTTAAATATCGTTTTCAGCGTTAAGCAAAAAGTGTAATTTACAGTAAAACAAGCGTACCTCCTCAGCGTTTGTCGGGTTCCATGCCGGCAGCAATATTATTTCACTATCTTGCGTGATGTATGCGTTTGTTTTATTTAATATAATTAATAATATAAACTCCAATACCAGTAACATGTTCTATTTGCTTTCGATTATAAATATTATAAATATTTGAATAAATTTTCTTAGATTTCTTTTATGAATTAAATTAATTTTTTAATTTTATTAATTTATATTATTAATTTTTATTATTAATTTTTTACCATATGTTATAAGTCTCTAACATTTATTACACCTTAGATCATCGCGTATGAAACACGTACTGTAATCTGAGTTTGCAAATATCATGTGACAATGTATTGTATATGCTCTCTATGCTTACATATGTGTGTGTGTATATTTCTTTCGATTCTGTATCATATGTTTAAAATGTGATACTTGCGATAACGGGTAAATCGTAACGGTGGAATTTAAAAAAATGCAACATTCTATATAGAATGTTTGATATTATACATATGCATTTTATTTATTTGCAAATGTCAAGTTTCTATTTATAAGAGTTTAATTTTTTAAGAATAATTAAAACATTCAGGTGTGCACACTATCTGTTTGCGCGTGTTCAAATATAAAACAACATTTAAAGACAAAATACAACTGAATAAAAAACAACTCAAAATTACTATTCATCATAATTATTTTAAAGACTGTTACAAATCATAAAAATAAGAATACACAAAATTATTGTCCTCACATTAAAAATAGAATAAAAGAAATACGGACACATATACAACGGTACATAATTATTGTGAGTCAAGCTGAAAACATATCGCAATCATAAATTTGTAAAGATACAGCTTTTTATTCTACGAAATCAAAATAAGAAAAGATACAGAAAACGGCTTAAGACGTCAAAAAACAATAGTTATAGTAAAACATTATTTCGGTTTTATAATTACAATATTTATTTCTATGTCAAAAAAAAAATAAGTTCTGCAAGTAGCACGCTCTCGTTTGTCCAGCATAACAAAATAATTTAATTAATTTTTTTATCATAAAACTCAATCAAACTTTATTACATATACTCAATTTTTTCTGAATATATTTTATTAAAAAAGACTAAATTATTTTTGTTCGCAAAAGATTAATGGTTAATGTGAGGTACAAAACAAATTGGAAAACTTCTAAATTGACTTAAGCGCGTTTTGCAGTTCTTGTTTTTCTGGATATTCATTTACACACGTAGATAATGTCTTCCCCAATTTTTTTCCAATGAGTAATTTTCAGGCAGACAGTGATGAAAGCGGCAATAATAATTTTGGTCACCTTCTTTGTGACACCACGTTCCATCGGGAAAATATGGATCAATACCAAAGTTGAGCAATTCTTTGCGAAGCGCGAAATAAGAAGAAAAGTTCTTTTGTGCACAATGAATTGTACAGGCTATCCACGGTTTATCCACTTCATGAGGAGCCTGCCACCCCGGTTTCAATTCCAGTTCAAACATGATACGGCTGAATTCGTCGCATTTGATGGCAGCAAATTCGGCAACCGTCTTGCGTTTTCCACTACATAGTGAAGAAGCATCGCACAAAACCACGTCGTAATATGGTCCAATGCAATTCGCTGTTGTGTCATTCTGATGTTTGCAAAAACGTCGTTTGTCTCGTACGCCTTTGGATCCTTTCAAACAACAGTTCTTTGTACAGGAGTCTTCCTTCCATTCACTCCAGTTATCGTCTTCACAATACTTTAAAATGTATGGCGGTTCGATAACGGGTACGCATTTTCGATCACGACATTCCATGCCGAGTGCGCAATGAGTTCCTAAAAATGAAGTCGATGAATTATAAGCCACAATATCTAGTCGGAATAAAAAACTTACCAGCCAGCGCGGGTCCCGTGAAATAATACGTATTTGTGTAAGGGACTTCACATTGTAAAGTTTCACATATATCATATAACGTGACCACGTTCGCATTTTTGTCGCGCAAATATACTTCACATTGTGTTTTGGCAGTCCATTCTCTTCCGGGTAAATCGTAACGTATAAAACTATCGAATAAATATGCGTCACTAAGGTTTTTGGGTTTTGTATGGTCTCGAAGACATTTTCTTCTTGCCCAGACTCTTTTTATTTCGTTACGACTTCTCTCAGACCATGCTATAGGGATTTCTATTTTATAATACTCTGACATGACGTATTTGTATTTGTTTCCTGGTTTTGAATTTATATCATGTGGCAATCTTAAACTTGAATTAAATAACAAATTAAATCTTTAAAATGTGTTTTGCTTTGTTTTATCTAATTAAAATAAATTTATATTATTTTATTTATTCATAATTAACGTACTTAACAATTAAAAATCAAATTTTTGGGAAAAATTTTTTTAAGTCTTTTTTTATACTGTACGATTAACTAAATTCTAATACAAAATCAAATTTTTACTTAAATTATACAAATAAAACTGGAATATATAAACTTACAGATGACCGATCTCATGAGTAGCAATGAAAGATGATCTTAAACCCAATGATATGATTTCAGATGTAGCACGAAATTCCGCTATTGCGCATGATCCAAATCCATAGCATGCATCTTCGTAAGCTGCTCCTTTTATGTCATACTTTTTTACACGTTTTATAATGGCATGTCCAAATGTCGGCAAAGTTTTTACGTTTTCATACTCAAAAAGATCTATTCCGGTTAGATAAATGCTAAAGTCCCAGTGATGCGAATGTTTGTCCGGAAAATTTTGAATATATGCGTACTTGCAAAATGAATTAAGCAGCTCCAAATAATCTAAATCGACAACTGGCAATTGTGACGGCTGGTTTTCCATAATGTCTAAATGTACCAGTGAAATATCAACAGTGACACCCAAACTGGGATGATGAAACGCAGCTTGGATACGATTTACATGCGCTAATATCATACAGCGTATCTTTTCCTTATCGTTGTCCAGAAGAGGCATGAATGTGCGATATGCTGCTTCGTCAAAAAAAACGGCAAGTTCTATGGTTAACTTTTGTTCCGTATTTTGAACGTCACGTCGTTTTCGTGTTAAATTGTTCAAAAAATACAGATTTGAATCATCTAAATATTGTACTGATGTTTTAATAAGATGAGGTTTGCCAAATGAAAGATTAATCTTTTTTTTAACGGAAAAGTCGTCAATTAAATACGAAGGCGAAAACTCGCTCCGTAAAGGCCGAATCTCCAATGTATCGTTTTCCACAAAAATGAATCCTTTCTACTTTGAAAAGCATATATTTGTCTTTTACGTGTAACGCTTGTATATAAAGCAAAAAGAAATAAAGATTGAAATTTGAAACAAAACATTTTCCAATCAGTTGTTAATACTACTGACCAATCCATTTTCGTGACAAAAGTTGATGGCAGCAGAACTGACATGATCCTCGTGAATATAGAAGCAAGAATCCAATGCTTTTAACTGCGAAATTTTTGTGATACTTTTTGCATTATATTTCCATTTTTCAAACATGGACGATACAAATTTGTCGTTTTTACGTAGATTTAGCTGAATCAATTTTCCGAAAACTTTCAAAGTTAATGGTATCTGCAAATTGAATGGCAATTAAAAAAAACTTGAGAATACTTAAATATTACTTTCAGTGTTAAGCAAGAAGTGAAATTTACAGTAGAACAAGCGTACCTCCTCCGCGTCTGTCGGGTTCCATGCCGGCAGCAATATTATTTCACTATCTTGCGTGATGTATGCGTTTGTTTTATTTAATATAATTATTAATATAAACTTCAATACCAGTAGCATGTTCTATTTGCTTTTGATTATAAATATTATAAAAATTTGATTATAAATATTTGAATGAATTTTTTCAGACTACTTTTATGTATTGAAAATTATTAACTATACCATATGTTATAAGTTTCTAACATTTGTTACACTTTAGATCATCGCGTATGAAACACGTACTGTAATCTGAGTTTGCAAATATCATGTGACAATATATTGTATATGCCCTCTATGCTTACATATGGGTGTGTGTATATTTCTTTCGATTCTGTATCATATGTTTAAAATGTGATACTTGCGATAACGGGTAAATCGTAACGGTGGAATTTAAAAAAATGCAACATTCTATATAGAATGTTTGATATTATACATATGCATTTTATTTATTTGCAAATGTCAAGTTTCTATTTATAAGAGTTTAATTTTTTAAGGATAATTAAAACATTCAGTTGTGCGCACTATCTATCTGCGCGTGTTCAAATATAAAACAACATTTAAAAACAAAATACAATTGATTAAAATACAACTCAAAATTTACGATTTATCATAATTATTTTAACGACTGTTACAAATCGTAGAAACAAAAATACACAAAATTATTGTTCTCACATTAAAGGTAGAATAAAAGAAATGCGAACACATATACAACGTTATATAATTATTGTGAGTCGAGCTGAAAACATATCGCAATCATAAATTGGTAAAAATACAGCTTTTTATTCACCGAAATCTATAAAATGTAAATAAGAAGAAAAAGAGAAAACGGCTTAGGACGTCAAAAAACAATAGTGATAGTAAAACATTATTTCAGTTTTATAATTACAATATTTATTTCTATGTCATACGAAAAAATAAGTTCCGCAAGTAGCACGCTCTCGTTTGTCCAGTATAACAAAATAATTTAATTAATTTTTCTATCATAAAACTCAATCAAACTTTCTTACATATACTTAATTTTTTCTAAATATATTTTATTAAAAAAGACTAAATTATTTTTGTTCGCAAAAGATTAATGGTTAATGTGAGGTACAAAACAAATTGGAAAACTTCTAAATTGACTTAAGCATGTTTTGCAATTTCTGTTTTTCTGGATATTCATTTACACACGTAGATAATGTTTCCCCCAATTTTTTTCCAATGAGTAGTTTTCAGGCAGACAATGATGAAAGCGGCAATAATAATCCTGGTCACCTTCTTTGTAACACCACGTTCCATCGGGAAAATATGGATCGATACCAAAGTTGAGCAATTCCTTGCGAAGCGTAAAATATGTAGAAAAGTTCTTTCGTGCACAATATATAGTACAGGCTATCCACGGTTTATTCACTGCATGAGATAGCTGCCAACCCCGTTTCAGTTCCAGTTCAGACATGATACGGCTGAATTCGTCGCATTTGGTGGCAGCAAATTCGGCAACCGTCTTGCGTTTTCCACTACATAGTGAAGAAGCATCGCACAAAACCACGTCGTAATATGGTCCAATGCAATTTGCTGTTCTGCGATTCTGGTGTTTGCAAAAACGTCGTTTGTCTCGTACGCCTTTGGATTTTTCCAAGCAATAGGAGTTTTTACAGGAGTCTTCCTTCCATTCACTCCAGTTGTCATTTTCACATTCCTTGAAATTGTATGGCGGCTCGATAACGGGGACGCATTTTTCGCCGCGACATTCCATGCCGAATGCGCAATAAGTTCCTAAAAATGAAGTCGTTAAATATAAAACTACAGTATCTAGTGAAAATAAAAAAACATACCAGCCAGCGCGGGTCCCGTGAAATAATACGTATTCGTGTGAGGGACTTCGCATTGTAAAGTTTCACATATATCATGTAACGTGACTACGTTCGCATTCTTGTCGCGTAAATATACTTCACATTGTGCTTTGGCAGTCGCTTCTCTTCCGGGTATACTGTAACGAATAGAACTATCGAATAAATATGCGTCACTGAGATTTTTGGGTTTCTTATAGCTTCGAAAACATTCTTTTCTTTCCCAGAGTTTTTTTATTTCGTTACGACTTCTCTCAGACCATGCTATAAGGATTTCGTTCCTATGATACTCTGACATGACGTATTTGTATTTGCTTCCTGGTTTTAAATCTATATCATGTGTCAATCCTAAACTTAAATTGAATAACAAAATTAAATCTTTAAAAGGTGTTTTACTTTATATTATCTAATTAAAATATTTTCATATATTTTTTAATTTATTTATAATTATCATACTTAACAATTAGAAAATCAAACTTTTGGAAAAATTTCTTTAAGTCTTTACTTTATACTGTACGATTAACTAATTTCTAATACAAAATCAAATTTTACTTAAATTATACAAGTAAAACGAGTATATATAAACTTACAGATGACCGATCTCATGAGTAGCAATGAGAGATGATCTTAAACCCAATGATATGATTTCAGATGTAGCACGAAATTCCGCTATTGCGCATGATCCAATTTTTATGCATGTACCTTCGGCGGCTGCTCCTTTTGTGTCATAATTCTTCACACGTTTTATAAATGTTAACAAAGTTTTTATGTTTTCATACTTAAAAAGATCTATTCCGGTTAGGTAAATGCCAAAGTCCCAGTGATGCAAATCTTTGTCCGAGGAATTTAGAGTTTGTGCGTACTTGCAAAATGAACGAAGCAGATCCAAGTAATCTAAATCGACAACTGGCAATTGTGACGGCTGGTTTTCCATAATGTCTAAATGTACTAGTGAAATATCAATAGTGACACCCAAACTGGGATGATGGAACGCAGCCTGGATACGATTCACATACGCTAATATCATACAGCGTATCTTTTCCTTATCGTTGTCCAGAAGAGGCATGAATGTGCGATATGCTGCTTCGTCGAAAAAAACGGCAAGTTCTATGGTTAATTTTTGTTCTGTATTTCGAACGTCACGTCGTTTTCGTGTTAAATTGTTCAAAAAATACAGATTTGAATCATCAAAATATTGTACCGATGTTTTAATAAGATGAGGTTTGCCAAATGAAAGATTAATTTCTTCTTTAATGCAAAAGTCGTCAATCAAGGACAATGGAGCAAATTCGCTCCGCAAAGGCCGAATCTCAAATGTATTGTTTTCTACAAAAATGAGTCCTTCCTACTTTAAAAAACATGTATTTGGATTTTTACGTGTAATGTTTATATATAAATTAAAGAGAAATAAAGATCGAAATAAACAAGACATTTCTTAAACAGTTGTTTTTTATATCATACTACTGACCAATCCATTTTCGTGACAAAAGTTGATGGCTGCAGAGCTGACGTAATCCTCGTGAAAATAGAAGCAAGAATCCAATGCTTTTAATTGCGACATTTTTTCTGTGATACCTTTTGCATTATCTTTCCATACTTCAAACGCGGGCGATACAATTTGGTCATTTTTACGTAGATTTAGTTGAATTAATTTTCCGAAAACTTTCAAGATTAATGGTATCTGCAAATTGATTGACAATTAAGAACAAAACTTGACAATCCTCAAATAATATTTTGAATGTTGAGCAAGAAGTAAAGCACATGACGAACTTACCTCATTGCTGCCTGTGAGGTTCAATGGCATTAATATTATTTCGCTTTTTTGCATGATATATGCGCTTGTTTCATTTAATAAAATTATTAATATGAATTTCAATATAAGAAGCATGTTTTTGTGTTCCGATTTTAAATATTTAAAAATATCTCCTTAAATCACTTATGTATATTAAAAGTTTTTAATTACACCATTCGTTATAAGACTCTTATATTTGTTAAATCTTGTAAGATTGTGTATGAAACACGTACTGAGTTTAGGAACACATCTGAGTTTAGGAATATCATGTCATCGTGACATTTTATTGTATATATCTTCTGTGCTTTTATGTGTGTATATATGTGTTTTGCTTTCAGTTCTGTATCATACATTTGACATATGATAGTTGCAGATATAATAGAAAATGCGATTTTTGTCCAGAATGTAGAGTAAACAATATTGTTCATAAACTTTTTAATTATTTACAAACGTTAAATTTTATTTGATGATAATTTAATTTTTTTATAGTAACTTGGACATTATATTGGCCGTATTATTTACGCGCGCGCAAATATAAAGTTAATTATAAAGAGAAAATACATTTGATTAAAATGTAATTCAAAATTTTTGTTTTATCTAATTTTCTTTTATTTAATTAAATAATTGTTACAAATCATAAAAATCCAAAAATTAAACATTTTCACGTTGATGATAAAGCAAAAGAAATGTGAACATTTATATAACCTTACGTAATAGTTGTGGGTCATATTAAAAACATATCACAACATATCACAATCATATATAAGTATAGATAAAGTTTTATATTCTGCGAAATCTTCAAAATCTAAATAAAAAAAAGAAGGCGTGGATGGCTCAGAAAATCACAAAGTAATGGTGTTATTATAACATTATTTTTATTAAAGATATAATTATAATATATATTTTTTTGTAATTAAAAATATGTAATTAAAAAAATAAATGGCGCAAGTACATTTACAACATACGCGTTTTTACATTATCGAATTTTTTTGCATGTAATTTTGTTCGATTATTATGTTAAAGTGATCGGCAGGCATAATAAATTTAATAGAAATACATAAATCCATTAATATTAAAACTACTTTTAGCAAAATAATGAGTAAAAATATTGGAAATGTCATAATTTTTGAAATAGCTTTCTGGCTGAAAAATTATAATGATGTATCTCTGCATGATTTCAGATATTAAAACGTTGAATCTTGTCATTAATATTAATTAATCTAGAAAAGTAAATAACGACGATATACATATAATCCATATGCATATAACATTGACATATTCAAAATCTTAGAACGAGAAACGCTTGAAAAGTTATTACCTTATTCTGCTAAAACGTTACTGGTAGATAAAACAGAACGTCAATGGAATATTGACGGTAGAACGCGGTGCACATGAAGTGTGTCATAGACATAGGCGTTTCTTATATGGTAAAGATATGAAAATCAATACAAATAAACCGTTAAATTATTTTTTGTCTCTATGGTAAGCTAAAAGAGATCGAACACATGATGGGGATTTGGAGTCATTAAATAATTCCGTGTTAATGTGCTGGCAGCATACTTGACATTTTCGGGAAAAATTATCGAAAATGCATTATAAAACATGCTATAAAACGGCGAAAAGAATCGCAGATCAATTTTTAATAGTTCGATTTAACAGAGTGGATTCGATTTTCAACTTTATATATATTTGAGTCGCAAAACAAATTTTAACAATTCCATGAAGTTATTTAAATTTACAAAATTTTCGAGGTTTAAATTATGTTTCAATTTCTCATCTCGATTTCTAGCACAAAAGTATCTTTGATTACAGTGGTAAAAGTAGAATCTTTGTTCTTTTAAATTATTCCAAGAAAATTGTTGTATGACTTTTTTTAGCAAAGTTATAACAGTTCAAAAATTAACAATTTTTCAGCAGAAGTTTAATGATTTTCTATCTTTGCTGCTAAATGTATATTGCTTTAGACTCAATTTCTTTCCAATTTTAGCATTTGCGTGCATTTTATAAAATATTTTTGTCTATATTACGTAAATACTGTTTGTAAAATATCAGATCGTAACAAATGATGAGTTGTTTGTCTCATGTTCCATGGAGAGTCTAATTATATCGGCACATGTTGACCGTCGATTTCCTCGAGCAAACTAAATCGATTGCATGTCATCTGTATGTCGGCATTGAACTACTGGTTCTCGTCGTGCTGAGTATCGTCTCGCTTGTTTTCGCAAACGAATGTTACGTGACTCTGCTCGTGAAATCATATAATTTTTTTTGTCCAAGCTAAATCTCTAAAGTTCTACATCGATATTTGCAATGTGTAATGCAAGTGTAATGTATATCAAAGAAATATTTACAATTAGTCTTGTATATGTGTAAACAGTATACAAAAATCTACGTATTTAGTGAATTCTGTGCAACATCTTCGTCATTCTTTTTGTTAAAAGTAATTACTTCAAGTAAAGGTAAGTAAATCAAAATAAACTTTTGCATATTTTAAAATAAAAGAGATAAAAAATATATATATTTAAAATTTTGTATCTTGTGTCTTTTTTATGTATCCATTTAAATAAAATTAGGAATAAAAGATTTGCGCAATGTCAGAACAGAAAAAAAATTTTCTCTATTTTTCACTTTACTCTTTATTACGAATCTTTTACTCTTTATTATGAATCTTTTTCTCCACAAACATTAAAAGCAACAACAATAATATTTTTAACATAATGCACAATTATAAACTTTTGAATCTTCTTAATGAATCTCAATAAATTTTGAAAAATGTTCTTTATTAAAAAGAAGTTTCTCAAATTCTTAAAACAATACCCAGGTAGCACATGTTTGTTTCATATGTTTCCTAAATGTATCCAATATTTCTTAACCGTTAAGCATCAATAAGAAACATTTTTGAAACCATAATTTAAAAATCGTTTTTTTTACGTTTTTAAAAAACAGAAAAAAATAAATGTTTTTAATTCAAAATTATGTATACGTATAATCACTACAGAGACTTGTGGCGTTCGGCGTTTTGATACGAAATAGATCAAGTCGTAAGTCATGTCATAACAGCTATGATCCAGTAATGAGATGTTTCCTATCGGGCTCCCGGCTTCCGAGCCCCACAAGCGAAAAGTGCGTACATATGCTGAACGCTTTGCGCAGCATATGTAC